ATACCCCTTGCCCATAACTTACTCATTTAACCCGAAAATTTTCCAAAACTTTGCTAAATTCCTCACTTTACTCTCCTTTTAAGCCTTTAAACTCAACTACACTTATCCAAATCAACTTATATCACTTTAACACATCTAAACATCCAATATCTCAATAGCATACTTGAAACCAAAAATTATACCAATTAATCAATGTTGTTCTTAATCCTTTCTAACACTTTAGATTTCTTATTTCAGCTTATGACAAATCAAATTTCACTTCAAAATTCATTTACTAACTATTTCTCAATAATTCACTCAAAAACCCTTTTTACTTAATCACCCATAACTTGAATTTCTTTTAATTTCTACTTCTCTTTAAGCTTTCTCAAGCTTTCCTAACACTCCAAGAATAATAACCAACTTAAAAATGAAAGGAACAATCAACTTGAGACCAACTCACCTTACCAATGGAGTCACAGGAAGAGAAGAAGAAGATAGTTGAACCATGTCTCCAAAATTTTCTTTCATTTCCTCTCATTCTCCACGTGTATATAATACCTCCACTAATGATTTTTTTATTCATTTCTTGTCTAATGACCATTATGCCTTTCCATCTCTCAATCTTTGTTAAACAATCCTACAAAAAGAAATTCTAATTAAGTCCCTGAACTTTTCAATTTATAACAATTTAACCACCAAGTTTTAAAATCTTACACTTTGGTCACTAGCCCGGTTTTTGGGATGTTACAATTAATCTCAGTGGCGTATCTATAAAAAATTTTAAGGCTGCACACACATATATCAATAATATAAACTTTTTATATTTAGGTGGATACGATAAAATTTTAGGGTGGACATAATAAAATTTCAGGGTGGGCACACATATATTAATAGAAAAAACTTCGAGTTTTAAAGAAGAAAATTCAAATTTTAGAAAATTTCAGGTGGGCACATGCCCACCCTAACATCAACATACATCCGCCACTTATTAATCTTATATGTTTATTTTCATTCATCCAACAATCCTAAAAGGTGTGAAACTAAAAAAAATTATACGGTGTGAACAGATCATGCCTCATATATATCCTATTTTTTATAAGATAGTATATATTCAAAGTTTTCTTTAATCTATTGACAGTGCATATGCACCCTGCAAACACAACTGTTCAAATCTGGATCCTCTAGAAAGAATAACATTTTCTTTTATCATTAAAGTCACTAAATAGGTTCTTATAAAATATTTAAATTTTAAATAGTATTATTTATAGATCAAATTTAATAATTTTTGAAAATCAAATAAAATTAAAATATTATATGCACAACTACACAAATTAAATTTATATATAACATTACATATTCAACTAAAATATCTAATATTTGAATTTTAAATTCAGTGATACCTAACACAAAAAGCAACAAACAATATTATAATAGTTCATATAAATTAGAACAGGGTTCATAACTAGTTTAGCAAAATACATATATAACACTCCAAAATTTTAATTACTCGGAATACATCTGAAATGACCTATTATTATTATTATTATTATTATTGTTAACCAAAATTTGAGAGTTGGACCTCATCATTCCCGACTAATAATTTTGCTTTATTGTCCCCTTCAAGCAATTGCTAGTGTGTGTCGAATAATTGAAGGATTAAGCATTCTAATTATTTTAGTTATATGATGGTAATTTAAATGCGACAGCTGGGTTATTAAGGGCACTTGATAAAAGATATTATAAATAAAATGTTGGTTATTGAAACTTAAGGTCGGTTTAATGTGGTGGGGAATGAAGGTGGTTATAATATAAAATATTTCATATAAGGTAGGAATGGTTTGATGTAGTCTGAATCTGTTTGTGTATGTTTATTTTTAGATAAGATTATTCTAATAAAATATAATTTATTAAATTTTATATTTAATTATTTGTAGTTGTCATAAAATATTTAATATGATTTATGATTATTAAAATAACGTTTATAACAATTAATTATTTTATAATTATTATTGAAATTTTTACCATTTTATCTCTACTTAAGCCTATACATAGAGAGTTTATATAAGCTTTTGAGTATTACAAAAATGAATTCTCTTAAATGTTTTCACTCCCAAAAGCTCTTTAATTTATTTCAAATTATGTTTCTAACATAAAAGTAATACCATTTAAGTCCATTCCATTTTTCAAATGTACGAAATTTGTAGAGGCGATGCTAATCTTAAATGATTCATTCGTTTATTGTATCGATAAACATATCATGACAATTTTGGTTCAAAGATAATGGATCACTACAATACTGTTATCATTCTATTTAATTATTTTATTTAACATTTTCTAATAAGTGTTAATGCTTTGTTTTGCAGTAATTTATTTTCTAACAAAAGTAAAAATATTTTTTTAATAAATTTGAGTTATTATAAATTAATATTTATTTAATTTTTTTATGTATGATAATATATATATTTTATAAATATAATTACTCAAATGTCATTCTTGTAAAAAGATAATATTTTGTTTTATGGTTGAAGTTATTTAATCAATTCGTGAAAATGAAATTATAAGATCGCTTATTGGAACTTAAGCCTTGTTCCTTCTTCATTGATAAAGGGAGCTCGATAATTTGGTGCCTTCGATTTTGGGATGTGCTATAATAAAGGCTAAGGTACATAAATGTCTTCAATGATAGAGTATTATTTTATTAAGTTTTTTTATTATTAAAAAGTATAAAATAGTCATTTGACTATAATACGATGTTTGCTGAAATTGCTTGCTGGAATTGATACGAACTTCAAAGGCATCTAATATTGAAGACGGCGAATTTGCGTTTTCAAATGGAGATCCCTCCTCATCCCTCCAACCACATTATTCATTGTGAACCTGGTGGGTATTGTGGATGGTGTATCGTATGCGATAAACAGCGGTTACCAATCATATTATGCGCGCCATTCTTCTTGCTTCCATCTTCGCCCTGCTGTAAAATTTGGAGGAAAAGCATATGCATGATATTAGTTCTGACTGTATGCATGAATATATATGTGTGTTATACATGTATGTATCCATGAAATTATACGTCGGATGACAGATGGAGACCTTAGACCAAGGACCATGAAATTATACATCTTTAAGCCAAAATAATTTATAATTGATGCTATATATTGTGTTGTTGAACATGGTTTTTTAAGTAGGTGGATTATTGATATAATATTCACTTTTGATATAGCAAAATAATGGCATTGGTGGGTCATCGTCTTCGAGCAATTGCTTCATGCCATTCGGGGGAGGACCACGGCTGTGTGCAGGAACGGAGCTGGCTAAACTGGAAATGGCTGTATTCATTCACCATTTAGTCGTCAACTACCAGTGGGAGTTAGCCGACACAGATTGGGCCTTTGCCTTCCATTTTGTCGACTTCCCTAAAGGTTTACCCATCAGAGTCTGAACTGGCTGAACTGCAGTTGTGCGAGTGTGAGGGCGGTCGGCGACAGGTTACTATCACCACTTACAAGGTCGATTATCGGAGTTCGGATAATCGGCGATAGCTGGGTGGCTGTTCGACAGCGGTGATAGCGAATGGCGATGGAGTGGGGGTTTAGAGTTAGAAATTTAAGGAGTTTGAATTCTTTGGGTATTTTAGAAAAGTTTTAAGTTTTTTTTTTTCAAAAAAATTGAAGTTATTTTTATAATAAAATTTTGAAAAAATATAAACGTGATACGTATCAAATAATGATTTCTTTAACGGCCGTTACGGTGTAAGTATTTAAAAGTTTAATAAAGAAAACGTTAGACATTTATTTTGAGCAAAAAATTCTTTATACACCTAAAATTAATTTAAGATATAGTTTGGACACTTATTTTTATATTAAACCTAATAAAAAATGTTGAAAAGATAATAGTAGATTCAGGTTGATGAGAGACAACTGAAGACTTTTTTGTTTTGAAAGTGTTCAAATTTTATAAAACTTCATAAATATTTTTAAATTTTTGTTTTTTATATTTATAATTTATCATCTTATACATTTATTTTTTATGTGTACTTAATGTTTTATATTACTTTTATTCTTAACAATTTTGTGAATATTTTAATTATTAATTTTATTATTATAATTTGTGATAATCAATGCTAAAGTATTTATTTTGTACTAGTAATTATATCAATAGATAAGATCAGATCACGTTAAATCTCGTGTTTTATATATAATCTATTTCATGTTATTCGTATAACCTGTTGGTAACGCAAATAGTGGATCTTATTATGAGGTTGATCAACGGTATATATATAAGAAGGGAGAACTCTTCCTCATATCTAAGATGAGATACCATGTTATTATTCTCTTTTATCTCCTCTTAGTTTCGAGTTCGAATGAAGTAACACTAATTGAATTTCACTTCTTCACTTTAAGTTACAATGTTTGAGGTCTATGTTAATTTTGTAAAGCAACCTCCATTAAACAAATCCAAAAAAAATTATTTTTCAGATAATAATTTACTTCGATATAATTATTATATCATTTCCCTTGTATTATTGTTATTATTTGCGATAGTAAATATTAATATTATTATTTTTCATAAGTAATTTTGCTAATATAACAAAAAAGGAGTTCATAATCGACGGAAGTTGCAAATAGCAATTGAACTAAAAAAAATATGAGGGTAGTTTTTTTTATTAATTTAGGATGATTACTTTGTTATAAAGATTTTCAATTATTGGACAATGAAAGTTCAAACACCTTTATAGTCTCTAATACTCGAACTTGAAAGCTTTAGAGATAACAACTATCTTTTTAATCACCGAGATAATTTAATTCTTACTTTTTTTTTCATGTTAGGTAGAAATTACCAAAAATAAGAGAAGCATGAGATTTGATAAGTAAAACAAAGTTTACAATAATTTTAATCGTCAACAACATTACACGTACTTCTTAATCATGCTTCTCGAAACCGAAGAAGCGAATTTATTTTACGATATTCAAGGGCTTTCATATGATAATTCATATGATTTATTTAAAAGGCGTCATATATGTCGTTTTCTTAGTTACTTCATTGAGCATTGAGAAGGTAAGCATCGACATTCTTAGCCCAAGCGGTCAAAAACTCGCCGTACTTGACAGGATCAGGGATGTTTTCGTTTTGCTTCTCGAATTCCATAGTCCATTTCACCAGGCTTCCCTCTCCCATCGACGTCACGTTAAGGATGGTCTTCCAAGTCTTGTATGCATTCATGATTTCACCCCCAACCAGTTTGTAAACGATGGTCCTGTTCGTGTCATCCATCTTCTCTATCATTTCCTTCACAGGCTCAGTCTTGCCTAGAAGAAAAGCAACATAAATATTTGATTATGTGAAGGAAAGAGTTTAGGTATTTGTGACCATAGGCTGCTTACCTGCGACATCAATATGCCATAGCCTAAAAGAACCTTCAGAATTCCAGTCGCCTTGAAGAAGTTTTATATCAGTAACTTTTTGATTGGAGAGTTTTGGCATCAGGTAGGGTTTGTTCTTGTACACATCAAAGAACTTGTCAGCTGAGGACTTGATCTCAAATTGGCACTCCATTCTCTGAAGTTGAGCCATGGTCACTAGCAAGGGAAGCCCAGAGACCAATACTTGAGTTGAATGTGAATGTTTAGCTTAACGGTTTGCCTTTTATAGAAGATTAGATATTCCCTGCCACGCTATATGGAATCAATTTCTAATATTAAAAGAGTATAATAAAATACCGTTCAATCCAATTTGATGTGCATGTATTACCAAATATGGAAATATATATATTAATAAGAACGTACACATGATTTTATGGTGAGAGGGAGAAATTTATAAAATTTGAAGTAAGGAAACTTTACAAAATTTTAGAGACAAAAACATATTTTGAATGGAAAATAAGAAAATATCTAAAATATATAGAAATTTGAAATTTTTAGAGGCTGATTGTTCTCATCTGCCCTGTTTAATTTGAGACTAAAAAAAGGAAATGAGAAGATATTCATTAAAGAAAATAAAGAAATAATCTTAACAATCTATTTCTATTCATCAAACGGTTCTAAATCAATGTAAAACTTAATTTTTTTATATTGTGTAATTGAATCTTAATCTTATATATATATATATATATATATATATATATATATATATATATATATATATATATATATATATATATATATATATATATATATATGAGCTAGAATCGAATTACATAATATAAAACTTTTTAATTTTACATCTTTTTAAGATCGTTGAACAGAAAAAATCAAATATTAAGATTAACAAAAGGAAATGAAAATATATTCACCGAAAAAAAATAATCTCAACCTTTAATTTCTCTTCATGATTTTACAAATAGAAAAAGATTAAAAGTTTTATATATATATAATAGAGAAAAACGCTTAATGGTGAGCACGCTTTTCGCCTTTAAATCTTATGGGTTGGATTCTCGCCCTTCAAATTATAAATATATAAATTGATTCGATGAACATTGTGGAACAATAGCCTCAGCTTTCTCGCCCTTCTAAGCGTAATGGGTTGGCTTCTCGCAGTGGTCCCCCGAATTATATATATCGGAATATAATTTTTATTCGCCATCTATTTTTAAGTTGTTTAAAGTTAGCAATTAAATGATATCTTTTTCTTTCAAAAAGGGCATTTCTAGTTAAGGGTAACATCTATAATATCTACTTCTCTATTATTATCTTTAATACGAATTGTGTAAGATTTTCTCTAAATTACATATTTATAGATATAAAGACTATATATCATATAAAATTTTAACTCTAATATGGATATTAAAATCTTAATAATAAATTACATCAAAGTCTTATTTAATACATAATGTTATAATTATAATAGACATATACATAAATAAATATTAATAACACTCTCTCTTAAATATCTTTGAAGATTACGTACCTCGTTAAAACCATACTATGATAAGAGCCTTGTGAGAATAAATCTTAATGAAGGAAAATAGTTTACATATCTTCAATACGCATAATATGTCTCATTAAAAATCTTACCAGGAAAACTCGGTACGATAAAATCTATGTTAAAGGAAAATAGCACAACACATATTTACTCCCTCATAACAATATCACATAAGATCTTCGAGTATTTACAATTCAATTTTGAATAAAATCTTCAAATTTTAAAATAAATAACACAATGGTGAATAAATTTTCAAATTATCACTTGAATGTATTTGTCAAATATTTATATTACTATTCTTTTGAAGATCATGTGGGAGGAAACTTTTAAGGAAATCTATTTCTTTTGATGTATCTTTTTTCAATTGAGCTATATATTTTGTATTATCTTCATATAAAATAGTTAAAATCTTATCACGTGGAAGTAAAGCACATATATTCTGAATGTGTTGGATCAATAGTCTTAATCAAACACATTATTTGTTTGTCTTGTGCATATCAGTTATTTCTATATGATTTGTATATGCATCAAATAATGTTTGAAGATCTAAAGATAATGATCTTATAATCCTTAGATAGTATTCTTGGATAAACATAAATACGATGCTTTTGGACCAACTAAGATACAATGTTTATGGACCAACATAGATAGTACTTTTGATCTTCTGTTTCTATATGACTATTATTTTTGTTACAAGTATTTGTATCAAGTTGATAGAGTTTCAAACCACACTGGGATTTTAGCTTATTTCATTTCTTTCTTCCCTTTCAGATAACTCGAAGTTACATGATCGAGTTTTTCATCTAGAGGTTTAGAGTCTCAGATTTATGTAATATTTTTACACTAAACTTCTACTATGATTTTATTTATCGGATTATAGCAATGGTTTGATAAATTGATATTTATGTTTTTGGACTAGTAGATTTTTACTTATGTTTTATATTTATTTTAATATATAAAATTTGTAAATTATATTCTCGTCACTCCAACAAAAGTTGTGGCATTCGGTATTCGACCGTAACGTCTAAGTCAGATGTTATAATAATAGTAAATTAGTAATAATAATAACGATTATACTATTAATAATAACAAGATAAGCCAAGGGACTACTAAATCAAAAGAAATAAAGATGCAAATATGGATTATATTGAATAGAACAAAAACTATGATGAGCCAAAATAAATACCCTTTTATTCTGAAGGTGCAGATCCATCAATTCGGTTGGGTCAAGGCACGAGTCCCTAAGACACCAAAACATTGTCATTTCACTAAGGTTATAAAACCCTCTTTCTCCATGTTTTCCATTTCTTTCTCTTTTTTTCCCTTCCTCTTCTTAAACATTTCCAAAATCCGGTATCAACCACCGTGTTTACCACTATCGACTGCCGTGCGGGCCGTCGCCTACGATGACATTTGAATCCAATTGTCCTCCAAATTTTCTTTGGCTTTTGAATTGTGAATTCGAAATTTGTTTCACCAGAAGTTGTACCAAACTCTAGATCTGACATTAAACCATTCGAATCCTCATTGTCCAATCTCAAGATATAAACGTCCTATCAACATAGTTATTAGATACGTTGATCTATCTCTTTGATGATCCACAACCTGTTGACTTTTTTAATTTAATAACTATTTTTCTTATAATTCTTATTTTTTGTTTTATATTTTAAAATATCAATAATTTATGTTTAATATATGTATTAATAAATAATTTAATGAAAAAAATATACCTTATATATACATCTAAAACAAAATGAGTTTAAAATCTAAGTCCAAAATTTAATATTTAAAGGTCAGCTCACAAAATTTGGCCCAAATCAATATTCAACTAGTAATGCAATTGAAGTTCGGTCGACGAATGGTATTTAACTATTTAAACTAAAATTGAGTCATTTTAAAAATATCGTTTAGATTCGAACAAAATTTGATGTCTACAGTATACTCATCATTTGTTAATTTATTTAAATTTATTTTAGTGTAGGTCTAGATATATTTTGATCATGAACGAGGACAAAATTATGATTGAATATTGAGAGAGACAAGATATCTAAACTCAGAACAATAGAGATGTAGTAGATATTTAATCTAAAAAATTAGAAAAAATAAAAATCTAATTTTACTTGAGTTAAAATTGATAGAACCCAAAATACTATTGTGCTAAAACTTTTGAGAAAGACAAGAGACCTTCTCACTCTCTCTATATATCTATCTATCCATAATCATGAATCTATTTATGCATTGAAATGATTGATTCTCAATGTAGTTACACGCATTATATTAATGTAATTATAATTGCAACTATAATTATTCAAGATAATTAATTTTCAATCATATGACTTTGAACGCTTACATTCTTGATATTGATGGTGTTCAAACACAAAATCTCAATAAATAATAATAATAATTTCTTTATCACATAAGTCACTTCATCTGTGCTTGAATTATTTAATTTTATATCATATTAGTTATAATTTTAATAATGTTATCACTAAAAGCTTTAAATTCATGGAGGTTGTATAAATCAAGTCACATTATATGATCCAAGTAAGATTCTGATGTTTTATTCCTTCTATTTTTACCGTCCACTTACATTCAAAGTGCAAAAGTAATACAATAGAATAGAATCTAAAAAGAGAGAAAATAAAAAAGATAAAATTCCTTGCCAAAACTATTATTCTAAAATAAGAGATGGAAATCATAGTTCAGTACCAAAACTGGAACAGAAACCAAAGAATACAATCCAATTGGTCCATAATGTTGATCGAATCATCATCATGGCCATGACAGCTCTCCACCACTTGTATATATAAGGCACTCCCTAGGGATAATCTAACACCCCTAATTTAATTTAAAGTTTATTTAAATTATTTTATTTAATTAAAGGATCAAAATGGGTAGCTTTGAAAGATTTTGGGTCAACCTCGTTAGTTTGGGAAGTTTAGGAACTTAGCCTTAAATTTACCCAATTTTCTGGTAAGTGGAAAAATATAAAAATGAGAAGTTGATGGCTAGGATGATTTAAACTTAGGACCTAAGGTATGGTTGGTCATCCCTTTACAATCTACCCTAGGAAATTATTTGTGTGTAGTTTAATAAATAAAGATTTTATTGATTTATGCTTGATTTTAACCCCAAAATAAGAACCCTATCTTTATTTTCATATAACCCTAAATCCCTAAATTTCTTTCCCAAAATACATAGCCATTGCACCCGTCACCTCATCAACCGTCGTCGCCCGATCGTTGTTTGGCGTTCCATCACCATCAGTGGACTCGCCATCGACCAACGACCTCAACCTAGCCCTCAAATCACCCAAATCGACCACTGTCCTTCGTAAATTAGGAGAACCTACTGAAACCCCCATCACCTCAGTTAACTGCAAAATTAGGTCGCCTCCCTCATCGGCTCACCTCACCGCCACCGCAGTTGGACTCCTCGTCGTTGTGCTTCTACAACCCAATAGGGTTCGTCATCCACCGTAGCTGTTCTCACCGTCCGCCGTGGGTAAGCCTTTCGTCACCTTTGTTCAAATATTTTCCATATGTTTTGGCTTGATTAGTTGTTGAATTGGGTCGATATTGGTGTGTGGTTGATCGTGGGATGCTCGATCGTCCGAACCCGCCTTGTAGCTGTTGTCACGTGCCACCACGCACCGACAGTGCGCGTGGGACTTGTTCGTGTCCAGTGAGCTTTCTAGAACCAATTTGAGTCAACTCGAACCGAACTCAGTTAACTCGAACCGACCTAATTCAACTCGAACCAGTCTGACCCATTGACCCTAACACAAACTGTTGACTTTGACCTGCCCGTTGATCGTTGACCTTCTCGTTGACTTTGACTAGTTTGACCGTTAACTTTGACCAGAAAGTCAAAATTTTTGAAAGTCATATTTTGTGTTTTTTACGTCATGGGTCCAAATCCAAAGTTCTTTTTGCCAAATTCGAACTTGGTAAGCTACTTTTAGGCATTCTATCTTTGAATTCAATATGAATTTTTACGTTTAAGTTCCGTTTCTAATGTAATTGGTTTGGCCATGTATCCGAGACATTATGGGATGTGAAATTAAAGTTCGAGGGCGATCAAATGGAGTTTAATTGGTTAACTGATGTGACTCAAAAATCGAGGTAATGTATACGTTGAAATTAAATGAAATGACTGAAATATCCTCGAAATGGGAAAATGACCTAGAATTTCTAATTCCTAAGCGAATACCTGGAGGCTAAATTTCTGAAAGTACTTTACACGTCTGAATTACTCGAAATGACTATATTATATGACAAAGTTGACCTGAATGGAAGTACTATACATATCCGAAATGTTGAAATGATTGAATTACTCTAGATACTCCAAAATGATCGGGATAAACTTGAATACTAAATGACCTAAGTACCCTCAATGACCTAGAATTAAGTGGATGACTTGGATAAGTCAGGAAACACTGATGAACTTATATGTTGTACCATCTATAAGAGTTATGAATCACGAATCAAGCACGTCGACATTTCTTGATACCGTTGCAATACAAAAATGAAATAAATACCGTTGGAATACATGTTCGTCTCCCTAAGATCCATTCAACAGTTATCTTGAAGTTGATCAGTTCAACTAGAGTAATCAATATTAAGAAGCGAATAATGATGAAGTACCTCGGTCTGATTGATTGACAAGTATCACAATATTAAGATTGGTTAGTTTAATTTGACTCAAAATCCTGATAATTCAATATAAATCCTAAATACTATAAATTATTGTTTTACTCTTATTGGGTTAAATTACTAAGAATTCTTCAGGAAACCAAAATGTATAAAATACCTCTGATTGCCTGGACAATGGAATCACTCCTGTCATATATGAAATCTCAAGTAACTCTGATGTAAAATATTCTAAATATATTCCTGATTAGTTAGTGCCTCCGAAAAATATTTGAATACTATATGATCTTGATAAATCACTTCCCGAATAACTGATGAATCGATTAGCTATCAAACCCCCTTTTTACAGGGATCTCATTGTTGAAATTCAATCAGTTTGCAGAAGTTTCGTGTTTTCCTTGCTTGATAATTGCTAAGTAGCTCTCGAAACTAACTAAATCTTCTAGTGTGTTCCTTATGTGCTATATGATTTTTTATCTGTCCTGAAATGTGATTTACCAAAGTTACTGATTTATTGGTTATGAACTATGGCTACATGATATGTGCTCTCTGGTTACCTGTTTTCACTGGAAAATATAATCTTTCCTGATTTATGGATCATGGAATCAACTGTTTATTGTATAAATCAATTATTGAGATACTGTCTAGGTAGGATTCTGGAGTATGTTGATTCAACTTCGATCAAGCTAGTAATTTCTCATGTAGGTTCATCACCGATCAATCTAGTAATTCTTTATGGACCTAAGGTTCTCCCTTAGGGTGGCTCCTCTACTGTGTGCTTTAGGTAAGTCCTTATGATCCTGAGGGCACACCCCTCAGGTGGGCACCTACGCTTCGGCTAGGGTAAGACCTTATGGACCCAATGTGCTCCCTTAGGTTGGCACCTACGCCCAATGGGCCTAGGTAAATCAATATGGATGCAGTTCTAGGTAACTGCATATCAGTGTTCGGTTGGAGGGTATTACTGTGACTTTAAAATATGTTTTAAACTACTAATGTTTTTAAAGGGTTTGTACACATTTCTCTGTTTTTTGGAACACACTAGACTCCTCAATTCAATCTTCTGAATCTTCTCTCTATGAATACTTCCTTTAAACCGTAAATTCTTATTTGTAACTGAAGACTTAGCTAATGGAATATGAATTCACTGCTAGAATCTGATGATGAATGTCTCGGTAAGAAATTTGTGCTTTAACTTATATCCGATGACCTATTGCATTTATATGGTAGTTTTGTATTACTGAGCTTCCCAAAGCTCACTCTATACTCACCATTTCAAGTTAAAAGAATCGATCAAATGCAGCTATCAACTTTAGTTTTGGGAGTTCCTTCAGCTTTGCTTGCAGAGTACAATACAATGTGTAATTAGGGGGCATGCAGGTCACATTTGATTTTTTATATACTGAGTCTGAAACTTATATGATTTAATTATGTTTGTAATATATGAATGGTTTTCTGAACTTGTATTTTATTTATAAATTGTTTTATGATTTTACACGTTTGAACAAAAATTTTAACTTTTCTTGGATTTTTATTGTGGGTCGCTCTGGTGGCCCTAATGTGACACCTTGGATCGGGTCACCCGCATCGGTCGGAGGGTGTTACAGATAACTTTCACCGTAACTCCAGTTAGTAAGTCCCTTTGTAGCATACGATGGGTCAGATCAGGAAGATTGATTGCCAAATTGAGGCCAAGTCCTCAGCTGACAACTCCTTTGATGCTTTCAATACCAAAACTCACATGATGCCAAAGATGTCCGCTCAACTTATTTCGGACATATAACTTTTTCAGGGTAACTGGACTTCGCTTGGCTCTATCTGTCAATGGTATTACTTTGCTGAAGGTAATCCCTGACCTTTAATCATATTCATTGACATAAAATCTTATGTACATCCTTAATTATGGTTGCTCTCTTCTAGGCAAGACTGAGACGGTTAAGGAAGTTCTCGAAAATGTGGACGAAACAAAAAGGACAATTATTTACAACCAATAGATGGTGAAATCGGGAAATTTTACAAGACATAGAAAGCCAACCTTAACGTCACACCCAAGGGGGAGGGAAGTTTGGTGAAATGCACTGTCGAATATGAAAAGCGGAACGACGACGTCCCTGAACCTGTTAAACATTGCGATTTCTAGGGATATGCATGGGTCGGATTTCGGCCAACTTGACCCGACTTGAAAATTTTACATCCTTCACCCGACCCGGCCCGACCCGAAAAATATATACCCTCCACCCGACCTGAACCCGACCTAACTTTTTGAGATAAAATTCAAACTCGATCCGACCCAACCCGAAATAATAAAAAATATTATTTTTATTCAATAAAAATAATTATTTAATTTAAAAATAATATATAGAGAGATATTATTATAATTATTCCTAAATATATATGGTAAAATTATATTTTTTGAGTTGGGTTGAGTATTTTTCACCCTAAACCCGAATCCGAACAAACTTGAATATCATCTTTAAAAAATCCGACCCGACTCCACACGAACCCAATTTCCCCCCATCCCTAGCGATTTCCTTATCGCCTTGTCCAATACCGTTGATGCTTACATTCTCAATGCCTAAGTTACATCAATATCTTGATTATATGTCTTCAAAAAAAGTTGCTAATATTTTAAAATAAATTTGTTTTCTCCGTCTTCAGAAAGCATTGGCGTGAAGTATGTGTGTTGTATCCATCTTTCGGTAGGGTTTGGAATTGGGCTTCGACTTAAATAAATGGGTTAGAGTCGCCACCGATCATTTATTTTAAAACAAATGAGTTTATCGGATACCTTATTTCTTACATGATCTGCGTCTTACCAAAGACGTGTCGGGTTCGGGAGTCGGTTACGGTCAAGGAAGTATTAACACCCTTGAACCGCCCTTTCGGTACCAATTAATTTGTCGGTTGTCTTTAATTGCGAAAATTAAAAATGTAAATTAAAATTTAAAAAATTTAAATTCGAATTAATTACCTTTGATCAATTATAAAGTACACCTAAAAGGTCAAAAAGACTTAGATTTGCAAAAATACTGAATTGACCCAAAAGGTTAAATCATAATACTTTAAACAATATATATATATATATATATATATATATATTTGATATAAACATTCAAGTTAACTCCCAAAAATGCATAAAAGTATAATGCCACCATTTTTAACAGCATTCGGGACATAATATTACATAATAGATGGATAAAACCTCCATGAACTCACGTCCTCACCTTTTAACATGTGACAAAACAAATGTTCTCACAAACATCTGAAATTCTGGGACGCATGATATCCAGAAACAAAGGTTATTTCTCAAATGCTAATTTTCAGGTGTACTCGAGGACAAGTAGAGTGCGTAAAACTGCTAGAGAATAATCCAAAATTCAGTGTTGAGGATGCAACCGAACTACAGCCTAGAGAGCTGGTATTGGTTTCGAACGCTATGCAATGCTCCTCACGCTATATATATATGAATACATAAAAAAAATATAAAAAAATAGTGCCTATTAAAAACACAAAGTAACGCACTTGAACAATAAAAAAAAAGTGATACAATTTGAGTCACCAACCTGATGGAAACCGTATTCCTTGGTGAGTGGGACACCTAGTTCAGCCATACAAGCTTGCACTAGATCATCGGAGCCGTACAATCCCGGGTACGTTTGAATACACCTGTCTTGCATCTTCGACAAAGCCTCGGCCAATGGGTAGCCAATGGCGAAGCCGCCGCCGCCGTAAGCCATGGCCATTGCTATACATCTCTGTCTCGCTGCCATGGTGAAAGTAGCCCTATCGAACGACAAAAGCAACGCTCCGACAGGGGAACACGTCGGTTTTAATAATCCCAACCGAACCACCAACGAACAACAATGAACTCGATCGGGCGGAGGCGGCGCAACAATGGGTTTAAGATTTTCGAAACTATACCATTGTGAAGCCCTCGACCAAGAAAGGAAAGGATGGGACGATGCAACCAGCCAGTTACAAGAACATGAGTTACCCCTTCTTCGTGTGGAGAGAAATGAGTGGGAGTACTGAAGGACGGAGATTGCTTGAGCATAATAACGCATACGGCCGTTAGTGCAGCAACCATAAGGATCTTTCCAACAATATTGTTTTAGGGTCAGGTTCCATGACTGCAAACGGCATCGATCGAGTTGACCTTGTCTGGCTTCTTCCTCTTGATGAATTTAGCATTTGCAGACAAGAAGCTTCAAATGAATTCCTGGTATGCCGAGCAAGAAACAAGGATTTATTTCGATTTCAATGACCAGATCATAGACCCTTTCCTGGAAATGCCACGAAGCTCGGAAAAAAGAGAAAGAAAAGCAAACGTGTGAGGTAAAGGAAAGGACTGGGAGGAGAGAGAGCTGAATATTCGACGAATATTCCCCTTTCCTTTTTGAGAGAAAAAAAGAAGGAAATATATGTGAGTTTAGTTGAGACTTGGAGGTGGTGAGTAGGTAATGTGGTTGAGATAATAGTGGGGTAGTGGTGAGATAATGGTGGGTGTCTATAAAATAATATATAAATTAATAATAATAATAATAATAACTCTTTAATTATTTCTTGGGTTAAATTCACTTTTGGTCGTTTAAATATTTATTTACTTTTAATCACAGTATAAAAAGTAATGATTTGGTCAATATTTTCTTGATATAACTTCAAACTAATTATTAAACTAATATCAATTTGATTATTTTTAAAAGTGACTTTCAATATTTTTATTTCAATTTAATGAAAAAAGAAAAAAATCAAAACATAAATATTGGATAAATTCAAAGAATTTAAAGCAACAATAAAAAATCAAAGTGACCAATATGTAAAGATAGTCAAATATGATGAAAGAGACGAACATTTTTAAAGACTTATGCAAAGAGCGTGATATCATTCATCAATTGAAAGTAGTTAATTAGATGTACGCTTTAATAAAATAGAGTTAATGAAAGAAAGAATCGTACAACCCTTTTTATGATAAGAAATGTCGTAAAAGATAATCACATACCAAGAACTTTTAGGGCTGAAACAGTACGATGCACAATTTTCTCATAGAACATTTAGAAATCGAGAGTTAGACACATCAAGATTTATGGTTGCATCGTGTATGCTCACATTTCTGAGCAGACAAGAAAGAAGCTTGATGAACAAAAGGAAAAATGTATATGCCCACATTTCTGAGCAGACAAGAAAGAAGCTTAATGAACAAGAGGGAAAATGTACATTTATTGGTTATGATGAAAGAAGTAAAACTTACAGCCTATATAATCATTTTTACAATCATATCAAGATACGTTGAGTTCAATGAAGCAGAGATATAAAAATGGAGTAAAGAAAAAACAAGTTAAAAGGACTATTGTTAATGAAGATAAAGATGATGATAATCTCATAAATCAAGATGAACAAAGTGATGATCAAGGTTCTCAACAAAACCTATTGCACTATCTTCATCAAACATTAGTAGTAGAACAAAAAATCTTAGTAACTAGTGGATTGATTTTTAAGTTTGAGTTAATCAACTCTGTATGATATATGTGTATCATATATGAAAAAATATTAAGAAATATATATATATATATATATTGTATATAGTTATAGAAATTTGTTAAATTGGAACCAAATAGTATCATAATATTATAAATATTTATAACTAAATATAAACATAAACTCGAACAACTTAACTTGACTCAAGTCAAATCGAATTTTATAAACTTGATTCGAAAATATTTCAAATAAAGTTTAAGTTATAAAACACTCACCTCTAAGTGCAATAGACCTATAAATATAAGTTACAGTGTGTCATTGTATAAAAAAAAAAAGAGAGAAAAATAAGAGATTGATGTCGAAGTAGAAAGATAAAAGAGTATTAGTTACGAGAGTTTAATAAGTTAGTTAAGTTCCTCTTTTTTGTTCCTTCGTATTTTTTTAGGTCATGGATTCTAGGCCCACTAGAAACACTTTCCTTTCCCCTCCTAGAGTCCTTCTTTCCCTTTCCTTCTAGGTAGGATTAGAATTTGTTAAGAAGAAACTCGGAATTCTATGTTTAGAATAAAATAGATGATCATACAGAGGAGAAAAATCTGCAAATAAAGATGGAAGGTTCATAGAAATGACATCATTTTTCACCTAAGAAAATAGAAACATTCAGTCAAACTAGCACAAAATTAAAAATAATTTGCGTTGAAAAAAGGCTTAATATAATCAATTGCTGCTTCACTAAATTTGTGTCATTGCAGAAAATCAATCTGAATCCTTTAAAATCTAAGCAATCACAATTCCAATGTAAGTCCTGGAAAATTCATCTTACATTATAAAGTATGCATGCCCATGGTAGCTGAAATAAAATACAGTTCTCTTGCTCGAATGCACAAACAAAACCGCAATGTAAGATAATTTATGTTGGAAAATTCTAGCACAAGGAGCTTAAAATAAGGCACAACTAAGGGAAAATTACATAAATTGTTATACATTTATAACCTTGTTGTGTAATACACAAGCACATGAAATATTATAAAACTATATAAATTATTACAACTTGTGGATGTTAAAGGATTGGTCTGAAACTCTCATCTCACACAACACAATAATTTCGCAACTGGGCCAAAAAGTTGATTGCATCACAGATTCTGAATTCAATTTTTACACATTTCTTACCACACCACCGTTCCATCTGCAATGGTGCCACTACTCCATTAACCCCAATATTCCATTATGAACCAGAGGAAATAGCGATGATATTCCCATATTCATCACTCCCCACAGCCAACTGGATGGCCATCAACATTAAGCTTCATATTCCCTGTTTGGGTAGAAGTCAGTGGGGGACCAAAAGGGACTGATGGGGAAAGTCGTGCCCTACAAATTTAAATTCTTATATATTTTAGATATTGTTTTATATTTTCTATTGATAATTTATTTTCGTCCCTAGAATTTAATAAGTTGATCACTTTTAAAATTTTATAAATTCACCCCTAACATAAAAGTCTAAGTATGTATCGGGTGAAAGTCATCCCATGGTTATCCTTATGGGAAAAGAAGTGGAAATAAATTATGAAACCAGAACTATATTCATATTTAGCACACAAATAGACTCCCTGCATAATTAACAACAAACAAGCATACAAGAAACTAGGCTGTCAATTTATTCAGCTATCAAATTATTCGTAAATCAGATGACTTATGCTTCAAGTAGTAGTAATGGAACTTCTAACATGCGATAATCCATCGTTTAGTTTGCTTGTGGGAGGTGAGCGTCCATGCCCTTGGAGAGATCCACCAAGAGTTGCAGCACAGACTCGGGGTGTGAAATCCCATCGTGCAGCTTCTCGTATTCCATAGTAAAGTGCACTACGGCGCCACTGCCCCCGCTCTTGGACGAAACTTGAATGGTCATTAAAAAGCTCTTGAATTCTTCCATTAGATCCCCCTCCAGCACTCTGACAGTGATTAAGTTCTTATCAGGCTCTACAGCTTCAATTACCTCCTTTGCCACTTTACTCTTCCCGTCTAAACAAGTAAAAGGAGCCAGAAATCAAGCGAAGAGCAAGAAAAATAATTATGGGTTTATTTTGTTTATATAATTGTACCGTACCATGCACATAACTCCAATTGATGATGCTACCGACTTGCCCCCATTCCCCTTGTTGTAAATCGCATCCTTGAACCTTGTCACTGCAAGTATGCTGCACATGTTTCAGTTTATAACTGACGAGCATATGATAAAACTGCTCAGCAGAAGCCTGGATCTCTACATCGGCCTCAAGCTTACTTTTCTGAATTGGATTTGCCATTGGTTCACACACGAGATGATCTCTTGATATCAAGAATTAGCTTTGAAGTTGTAGTTTGTTTGATGTTTTGGCAAAATGCTATTTTATAGACCGGTGTCTACGTCTTTGACAACAATACTCTCGAAATGATACTATTCCGCGGATGCACACCTTAAAATTTAAATTTTCTTCGATTAATTAACATTTTATTGATTATATCTATCTTATAATTTTATTTATATCCACCAAATACAAAAATTTATTGTTATTAATATATATATATATATATCCTTAAAATTATTTCTGGATCGGACTCTCATCCTAATCCGTTTCCTGTTCCTTAGCCAATTCTCGCCTACCACGTACATGAAATTATAAATTAAGGTAAATTATACATTTAGTCACTAAGCTATAGGGTTTCTTTATTTTTGTCACTTAATTATGGAAAGTTACAATGTGATGATTAGAGTTATTGAAAAGTTATATTTTAGTCACTCAACCTTTAACTGTCATTAATCCTTTAACAAAATGATGACATGACATGTTAATTCAAGGGTTAGTATCTCATTTGGCACCTCAACTATAACTAAAATACTAGTTCAACACTTATACAATTGGTCAATCCCCAAAATTGGGATGAAATTGGAAGATTTTGGACCAATTTAGAATGAGGGTTATAGTTTAGGGATGAAATCAGAATATTCAAAGTTTAAGGACTAATTTAGAATGAGAGTCATAGTTTAGGGATGAAATTGAAATATTCAAAAGTTTAAGGAACAAGTTTAAATGAGAGTTATAATTTGGGGACATATGATGCAATTAACTAAAGAAAAAAATTCATGTCAAAAAGTTATATCCTTATCTTACCGATTTGAAATGTGAAATTATTATGTGTACAACTTCTAAAAGGTTATATCTTTATAGGAACATTTAGTCTATAAAATATAAAAGGGTAAAGTACATCACAGGTTTTTATATTAGGTTGATGATGAATAATAATTGTTTAGCGTGATTGACGTTGAAATCTATATTTGTTTATGTAATTTTCTTGTTTTGCCTTTGTCCAAAACCTGTGATATACTTTACCCTTTTATATTTTATAGACTAAATGTTCCTATAAAGATATATCTTTATAGAAGTTGTACTTGTACACATGATAATTTTACATTTCAAATCGGTAAGATAAGGATATAACTTTTTGACATGAATATTTTTCTTGAGTTAATTGCATCATATGTCCCCAAATTATAACCCTCATTTAAAATTGTTCCTTAAAATTTTGAATATTTCAATTTCATCCCTAAACTATGACTCTCATTCTAAATTAGTCCTTAAACTTTGAATATTCTGATTTCATCCCTAAACTATAACCCTCATTCTAAATTGGTCCAAAATCTTCCAATTTCATCCCAATTTTGGGGATTGACCAATTGTATAAGTGTTGAACTAGTATTTTAGTTATAGTTGAGGTGCCAAATGAGATACTAACCCTTGAATTAACATGTCATATCATCATTTTGTTAAAGGATTAATGACAGTTAAAGGTTGAGTGACTAAAATATAACTTTTCAATAACTCTAATCATCACATTGTAACTTTTCATAATTAAGTGGCAAAAATAAAGAAACCCTATAGCTTAGTGACTAAATGTATAATTTACCTTAATTTATAATTTCATGTACGTGGTAGGCGAGAATTGGCTAAGGAACAGGAAACGGATTAGGATGAGAGTCCGATCCAGAAATAATTTTAAGGATATATATATATATATATTAATAACAATAAATTTTTGTATTTGGTGGATATAAATAAAATTATAAGATAGATATAATCAATAAAATGTTAATTAATCGAAGAAAATTTAAATTTTAAGGTGTGCATCCGCGGAATAGTATCATTTCGAGAGTATTGTTGTCAAAGACGTAGACACCGGTCTATAAATTTTAAGGTGTACATCCAGATATGTAATTAGTTTCAACCATAGTTTAACATAATTTTTGTTTTTCTTTACACGTATAATAATTTTGAAAATTTTAGGGTCATTTTAGAAACCCTAGGAAATTTCAGGGATAAAACCCCGATTTTTCCCTTCCGAATAGACTATATATATACTCTTTTTTGGGTCATTTTAAACACTGTCCTTTTTATTCTCTTCACGGTGTCGATCACACTGCCTAAAAAGTGAAAATCAATTGTTGATTAGAATCTTAAAATTTCGAATGCCTTCTTATTCGCACCCCTCAACGGCCCTAGCCATGAACTTTTGTTATCTGTAATCGACAAGTCAATATACAATCGACAATACAATATAATAATATTACACAATCTCATTTGAGTATAATAATCATGTATATTTCAATTATTCTCACCACTAAGATCGTAATAATTTGATTGCTAGATTGTGTCTTTATATAACGTTTAAAATCTTACATAAAGCATAATTTTAACACTCAAATTTTAACACAAATCACATGCCTACAAATCACAACCTTACCACTCTGATCTAGGCGCCTATATCCTTTATGTGATGGACTGTAATCAAGAAAGACATCATTTTGATCGAAAATCCAGCTCATGTTGATTAAACGGTCTCAAGAAAAGCTAGCATGTGCATCCGAAAACTCGTATGAATGTATAATCTAGCTTCTCGTGATGAATGACTTCATATGGTGTGCTTGCAACCTGTTTGTGAGAAACGACAGTGGTAAATGCATAATTCCAAAATTTCAAAGGTAATGAAGCTTCGGACAATAATGTTAACCTCATTTCCATGTTGTATTTCACATGTTCTTGCGTGTTTTTGCCCCCTCAAGTTTATTTACTCTTTCTTCCGGTGCTTCAATGTGTTAAGGTTTTCCTTCACTCAAGTGCAAAAAAATAGTAGACATGCTATCTGTCGTATGTGTTTCAATCTTTATATATATATATGGATCGATATGCTGGGAGCTTTTAATATATAAATAATAATAATTGACGGAAAAGGGGGGGGGGGGGAAGAAGTGTATGAAGCACACTATACATTCAACCTGATACATAATTAAACAACTAGCATACAAGAAAAATAAAGTTAATAAGAAAGGCAGCTGTAAATTTATTCATTAATTAGATTGGTACTGCTTTTTAGTAGTAGTAATACGACGGGCAAATGGAATTGTTTTACCTGACCTCCTCATATCATGGATAATATTTGTTCACAATTTTTATTAATCACCGACAATTGTTCAAACTCAAGACCTCAATGAGTTCTTGATAGATAAAAAGGAATTATTAATATCATAATATAACATTTAAGTATATAAATTACAAGGTTTGATTAATTTTATGTTAATTTTATAAAAGAAAATTACAATACGAGTTTCAATATTTAATATGGTAATAAATTTTAAATTAATTTATAAGTCAATAAATCATATATGAATAATTAAGTAAAATATATTTAATTAGTTTAAGTTTCAATTAACTTTTAATAAATATATCCGAAAAAAATTGAATGCCAATCTGCTACACAATAAAATAAAATCAAGTTCCCGACTTATCTTGGTCTAATATTTGACTTGAATTAGAAATTAATTAATATGATATTAACTCAACTCGATATTTAACTCGTACCAACTTATCATAGAGTTAAACTAATTTAGAACTAGATCATACTCTAATCGAACCTAAATAAAACCTTTACAATGATAGTATTTATTATACTTCGTAAATATTTTTTAATTGGTTTGATGTAGAAGTAATTCTTGATATGAATTTAATTATGAATTATATAACTATATTGATTAGAACTTCGGTTCAGTTTCGTATATCTGCAACCAAAACAATGGGTCGTTAAACTCTGCCAAATTCTAGTTTTCTCAAATAAAAGATAAAATAAAACTTTATTAAGTGTGGATGAGCTTGCACTTGCAGAGATGCAAATGTAAAGACAACATACCAGAATGTCAAGTTCCTTACAAAATGAACTCATAAAACATGTGGATATCATCTTAGCATATAAAGTCTGTCAATCGATACATGGCCACGCCTGCCTGTTTGCCATTAGATCCAATAATTAGGTTTCCACGCCATACATATTGAATTATTTATTCAACTTCTGAATAATTCAACTTCTTATATATATATATATATAAAGCAAATAATTCTATAAAGTGACATAACCTCGCCAATTCTTAATAATAAATAACAATAATAAACTTTAATGGCGTGATCCGCATTGCATAAGACTTCCACCACTTGTAGAGTTAATCTTGTCTAAGCGTTTAGGTTGACGTGTTCTTTTTTGGGGTTTGCAAGCAAATGCCGATGTTTATACTCATGGATGAATCGAAGAGGATGGATAGGACAGTTGTTTTTCTTTTTCTTTTTGAAAATTTAAATTTATCATATATTTAAAAAAAATTGAAAGGAAAATAATTATTTATTTATTGTTAGAAAAGGCAAAAAACTATGACAAGAGCCTTGTTAAAAAAATCCTTTCTATACCTAAATTGAGAGAAAAGAGTGCGTTTTACCATAGTAGATACAATAACACCTAAATGATAATTCCACATCATTCAACCAAAACAGAAATTTAAATCCCACACTCACCATAAAAGCTCAACAAGACACAACCCTTTTTATCCAAATAATACCTTCACCCAGAAAAATTCAACACCCAGTAACAAACCCACACTTAACACTTCAATACTAGGTAAACTACTGCACGCATATGGAAGCAGATCTGCAGCTCACTTAGCATCAAATATTATTCCTTAACCAAAAGACCAAAGATCCTTCACTCATTTCCAGTTTACCAAAACCTACTAAACTCCTCAATCCAATCAACTCGTCTCACCTCAGATATCCAACTACGATCATAATCTATTTCATTCCCTTAGCTGTCGGGATCCTTTCCTTTCACTATGAAGAGACCGATAATGGCGATTAACCCGCCAGGACACTAGGAACCAGCGAACCAACATTTAATAAAATCAGCCACAGATGAAGGAAGGCGCTCATCTCTAATCACATACCATTCCAAGGCCAGCGAATCAAATGGACTAGAACATATCACAACAAATATCTGAACCAGAACCAAACTCAACTAATATTTCCTGTCAAACCTGTCTATAACTAGGGATCAGCAGCCCCATAGCTCTCTCTTGAAATTGCCTGAGTTTAATCCAACTTTCAGCATCCTTTCTTCAACAACACTACTTTACTACTATTGTATAATTTGATATCTAGCGAGCATCAGACAATTCTCATCAGATCTCGTCAATCTGAACGTTCTCCATAGCCCAAAAAAAAGCTGGATTCCTTTCAATGCCCTCTTGAACAAGAGCGTGAGCATCCACATATTTTAGATTCTTTTATATTTTTTTTATTAAAAATTTGTTTTCACTTGTGCTAAAATTTTATATGTCCATCCCTCTTGATATAAGATTCTGCGTTCCAAGCTGTTTATACTTCAAAATTTTTATTTAAAAAAAAAGAAGAGCATACACAAAGGAAAGGGGCATAAACAAATAGGCCAGAGCAGAAGTATTGCAGCTGGGAAGCAATGAGGAAAATAAAAGATTGGAAAACAACACCACAAATTGCCAATGGGAGACTCATGCCATACCAGCTTTCGCCAATATTAGTGAGCAATTTAACCACATTATTTCAATCCGATTCAACAATTATTGAACAAAATTAATGTTTTCACTAAAAAAAAACAAGCGTAAAGTGCACTAATGATCCCCCAACTACAAGGTGTTATTTTGTTGAGTCCCCCAATTATTAAGAGTTTCAAAATGGTCACCCGACTATTCATATATTCCAAACTTGTCATTTTTCGTTAAAAAATTAATAGTCGTCTGAGTTGGAAGTTAACATATTGACTGAGATATGATAGTCATTTGAGATTCTGGGATCAGATCTTAGCATATCTCAGTCAATAGTTAACGTTCAGTTCAAACTACCATTAATTTTTTTAACGGAATAGAACGAGTTTGAAACATATGAATAGTAGAGTAACCATATTGTAAAACTTACTAGTCGCGGGGACTCAACAAAGTAATGTCCTATAGTTGAAGGATCATTGTGTAATTTTTAATGGTTTGAGGACTCAACAAAGCAATATCCTATAGTTGAGAGACTATTTTTGTAATTGACCAAAAAACAATTATCGGTAAATGCCAAAAGAAAAAAGAAATTCAAAAGCATCTCAGTAAATTGTTGTCTTAAAAATGTATGAAGCTCCCGAATCTTGAAGAACAATTAATTAATTAGGTGAACTATTTTTACATTAGATTGAATTTTTGAATTGAGAAATTAAATTAGTTATGTTTTTTTGATTAATTTTAACGGTTAAAATCTAATAGTTTTTTTTCTTAAGATAATATTATCACTTGATATTTGTATATATTTTATAATATTTTTAAAAATATTATAAAAAAAACTTTATCTAAAACATCGTGATATGATATATAACATCAAATTATCTAAAATATTTTATAGATTTAATGATCAACGTTGATAAAAAAAAGAATTGATAAAATTTAAAAGGCAATAATTTAATTAAATAAAAACTAAAACATTAATTATTATTTGTAAATAAAAACTTCAAAAACTTTTAAATTTAAATTTTTTGATACAATAATAAGTAAAATGATATTTTAAGGAAATTAAAATTTATTTAATAAAAGTAAGAAATGCCAACAAACACTACATTAAGAGAAAACCTCAGGGATAAAATATAGGAATAATAGCCTAGCAGCCAAACATGATATCCAACAGCCACTCAATAATACAAACCACCGATCAAAGTAGCATCACATGATACTAAACGAGATTAGTTCAACTGTTAAGCAGCTTCATATTATTAAATAAATTTCGAGTTTGAAGATTTATGTATGAAAAAAATCTTTATTAAAAAAGTCACTTATGAAAATCGAATGTAAAATACAAATTCATCTAGATTAATTAGAATAAAATCCTTAAGAATTGAGAGAACAATTTATACAAAACCTTATTTCGATAAACAAGCACGAAACACTATTTGTTGCATAAAAAATGGCAAGATCTCGATATCTTTTTGAATCTGATTTGTTAACGTGAATTAATAATATCTGTGAGTTATAAAATTATATCATGTGTTTATTTTATATTTTTAAATTCGTCGTTTGATGATATCGCCCCTCTTCGATATCCGATGCTAAAGCCGATTCTAAAGTCAAGGAAATCAAAGAGATCCACCTCGAAAGGAGCTTATTTACCAGAGGAGGGGGATGGTTGCCTAGTCGTTGACTGCTAGCCAAAGCTGGAAAACTTTAGGGTTTGTTAGAGACAGTGGCTACGGTAGAGAGAAGGGAGAGGATAATCATTTGTTTAAAATTGTTCGTTGGAGTTGAAACAAATTATGTAACCCTATATATATATATATATATATGGCTCACAAATAGAAGCACAAAATACATTCAAATTACACAATTGAACAACAAACATACGAGAAAATACAAAGCTCCCTCTCTCTGATCACAGCATGTCGATCCAATCACATACATTCAGATCAAAATACATAAGATATGCAGCTGTCAATTTATTCATTAAACAGATTAGTATTGCATCACGCAGCAGTAATAGTATGGACATCCTTTACTTTTGTTGGGTGAGGTGAGCGTCGATGTCCTTGGAGATGTCAAGCCCGAGTTGTAGCAAAGTCTCGGGATGGCCAATCCCTTCGTGCAGCTTCTCGTAGTCGAAGATCCAGTGCACTATGCTTCCACTACCCTCGCTCTTGGGAAAAGCTTGAAGCGTGAGCAAAAAGCTCTTGTACTCTTCCATCAGATCTCCTTCGATCACTCTGAATCTCACCAAGTTCTTGTCAGGGTCTACTACTTCAACCACCTCCTTTGCCACTTTATCCTTTCCATCTAAACAAACAAAATTGTTTCTTATTTTTGTAAAAGCATGAAAAGAATTGTACGTTTGTTGTGTTTAGATACCATACCATGAACGTAATGGAAGTTGAAAACGGTACCAACTTTCCCCCATTCACCTTCATGTAAATCGCATTGTCGAACCTTGTCTTTGGCGGTATGGGGCACATGGTGCAGTTTGTTGGCCAGCATGTCGTGAAACTGCTCGGGAGAAGCTTTGATCTCGATATCAGCCTCAAGCTTACCAATCAGAGATGAAGACGCCATTGTTTTGAAGAAAGATTTAGCTAACTGGGATTTTGGGAGTAGTTCGGTTGTTTTAAACAAAAGCAAAAAAAAGGCCAATTTATAGACCAAGTGTATCTGTGTATGCGCCTAGGTAGCAATCTTCTCCATTATTATTCTGTAGCCAACTGCCGCCCGCCACGTATGTGACTTTACAACCTAATTTCCTTACCGTCTTCTGTTCGAAACAATTGGATTCGTTTCAACTGAACCGCTATATAGGATTTGTTTTTCTTAATAATTTATCAATTAATTCATTTGAATTACATATTATAAATATTTATCATGTAAATAACTTTTTGGTAAAATTAGGAAAATAATACAGGCAAAAAAATAAAATAAAAAATGGAGGTGATTAAGAATTATTTTGATATTTAAGTCATTTTTTACGATACACATGAAACTTAACTGGAGGTGACGAGTTATATATAATTTTGATTCATTTTATATGACAAGTTATATTTTTAATATATTTTATGAAATTTGTTAGTTACACATGGCGACTTTCACATATACTGTAACAAATGAACTAAATTCTAAAATAAATTTAAAAATATTTTTTCACTACTTAATTATTTCACCTGTATTATTTGCTTAATTTTTTCTAACTCTTTAATATAATTTATTTAATTTATTACGTTTGGAGTTTGGACTAGTTTTTAACGACATTAAAAATGTGGATGGGCATGGGCGAGAGATATGGGGCTAGCACTTGCAGATATGAAATAGCCAGGCCAACCAACTAAGCAACATATCAGTCAAAGATATCTGTTTGAAAATTTACATCAGCATCGCAAATATTGCTATTTTTTTTCCTTCAAAGTTTCTCAAAATTTAGTCTTCATTAATTTTATATTACATAGTTAATTTTGATAGATAAAGTTTTTAGAAAATTTTCTAAAAAAATTTAAATAAAAAATCTATTCAAATGATATCAAATTATAAATAATTTTATTATTATTTTTATAAGACAATTATTGCTACTTTTGTCGGTCTGGATTTTGAATTTATTGCTACTGCGCTACTGCGTACTCAATCTCACGTTCAATCTGGATTTTGAATTTATTGCTACTGCCTACTCCACGTTCAATAATTATCAGACATGCCTACAATATAGATACATTTTTTTTATGAAAAACAATATAGATTCATGTACAATCAAAATTGCAAATTCAAGTATATAATACATATTTAAATAATGTATATTGATCCATCAATCGGTTTTTGATCTTCATCTGTTAAAGAAATAAAACTACTACAATTTTTAAATAATATTTTACTTTACTTTTTGGTGATGTATCAACAGTTGCCTTATTTGTTGCAAGACAATGCTTGAATTTTTTAATATAATATTTAAATTATAATAATTTTTAATCCATAAATCGAAGGAATTATTTTATAGTTAAATATGTTCGAATTAGTTATGTCTTATTTACTTTTGGGAAATGGTTCACATTACTACATTTTGTGTTTAGTTCACAAAATTAAGAAATCAATTCGATACATGATTAGACAACGAAGATACAAGAAAATACAAAGCTTCCTCTCTCTTTGACAGCATATATAAATTAAGGGTGTCAATTCATTCTTTAATCATATGAGTAATAGTAGTAATTGTACTACCGAAATACGATTTTCATAATAAATTGAGTAGTAGAAGTTATCCAACCATTTTAATAGTTAAAAAATTATTTTTAAATTTTAATAATGTTTGTATAATATATATATATATATATATATATATTATTAATAATTAATAAAAATATTAAACAGATATTGTTACATAATTACTTTAAATTATTAAAAAAATCAATCGGTTTAGTACGGTTCGGTGAGGTGACGCCATTAATAGCATGGTGTTGGGATGGTCAATCCCATGGTGCTAGTTCCCGTATTCCCAAGTCCAGTGCACTTCGATGTCACTGACCCAGCTCGCTGACGTTGGAAATAATATTGACAGTGAAATAAAATATTAACAATGATTATAAAAGTGAATAAATGTATATAGATAATTGAATTTACATAACAAAAATTATGAAAATAAAATGATTTGTTTTTATCGGTATAAGAAAAAATATATATGTTGTTTTCAAGTTTAACACTATTTTTAAATCTATATTATCTAAAACGATTTTGTTATTTAAAATAATTTATAGAAAATATTTCGATAGAGTTATAAAAATAATAGAAAAGAAACATATATTAGGTATTCAACAGACTATACTGACATATACGTACATGTCTTATCTTCATTCATCAATAGGAGTAATATTTTTAATAATTCCTATATAAGGATGAGATAAGAAAAATTTTACTCTTAAAGAATAAATTTTAAAAAATTGTATTTGAATACTTTAAAGATTTTATATTCAATAAATACAAGCTATATAATTCTCTTACCAAGAATGTAATAATTTCAAGAGATATTGAATGTGATGAAGGAGAACACCGGAGATGAAGCAGAACACCGGAGATGAAGCAAAGAAGAAAAAAAGTTGAAGAACTATTTTTAAGGAAGATAAATATGACGAAAATCTTATCAATCAAGATGAATAATCTTATCAACCAAGATGAATAATATGATGAATAAAGTCTTCAACAAAATTCTAATACATCATCGTCATCAAGCAGCAACAGTAGTGATAGTAACAGAACACAAAATTTTCTTCCCACTAAAGTTCGAAGATCTACAAGAGAGAGAAGAATACCATAAAGGTACAATGATTATGAATTACAAAATGTTTCACTTTTCTACTTACTTATGAACAGTGATTCGATAACATATGAAGAAGCGGTTGAAGATGACAAGTGAAAGAATGTTATGGATGGAGAAATTGTATCGATAGAAAAAATGATACGTGAGAGCTAACAAGTCGACTAGAAGGTCACAAACCAATTGGAGTCAAGTGGGTATAAAAGAAAAAGATAAACTAAGGAATGAAAAATGGAGAAATATAAGGCAAGAGTAGTTGCCAAAGGCTATAAACAAAGACAAGGGATAGACTACAGTGAAGTATTTGCTCCAGTGAAAATAATCAAGACTATCCATCTTGTCAAAATAGTTGCAACACAAAACAAATGGAAGATTTATCAGATGGATGTGAAGTCAACATTTCTAAATGGCTACCTATAAGAAGAAGTTTATATTGAGCAACCACCTGGATACATTAAAAAAAGATACGAAGACAAAATTACTGATTAAAGAATGTTTTGGATGGATTAAAGCAAACTCCAAGAACACGTAACACAAGAATGGATGAATACTTCCAGAAAATAGGTTCATGAAGAACCCATACGAGCATGCTCTGTAAACAAAGAAAAGTGAAGATGGTGATATCATGATCGTGTGCTTATATGTAGACGACATGATTTTCACAAGAAATAATCCACGTATATTTAAAGAAAGTTATGACTAAAGAATTTGAAATGATAGATATTTGTGGAATATTTATATCACAAAACAAATAGGCAGAACATATTTTAAGTAAATTCAGAATGGAGGATTGTAAGTAGATAGGTACTATAGTAGAACCAAGCATGAAATTAAGTCTAAATTCAACAAGAGAGCCAGCGAATTCAACATTGTTTAAAAAAATCATTGGAAATTTAAGGTATTTGACTATTATCATGTATAAGCCAAAACATGCTTATATGCAGACGAGATGATTTTCACAGAAAATAATCCATGTATATTTAATGATTTCAAGAAAGCTATAGCTAAAGAATTTGATAGGATAGATATTGGTGAAATGTCATACTTCCTTGGAGTCGAGGTGAAACAACAAGATGGAATATTTATATCACAAAACAAGTAAGTGGAGCATATTTTAAGTAAATTCATAATAGAGGATTGTAAGCCGGTAAGTCGGTAACTACTATAGTAGAACCAATGATGAAACTAAGTGTAAATTCAATAAGAGAGCTTGTGAATTCAACGTTGTTTAAAAGCATTGTTGGAAGTTTAAGGTATCTGACTATCACATAACCAGATATAACATATATTGTGGGATTGATAAGCAGATTCACAAAGAAACCAAAATAAGATCATTGAATTATGGAAAAGAAACTTTTGAGATATGTCAAAAGTACGATCGTCATGGTTTATTTTACACATATTCACAAAATTATAAGTTAATTGTTATTTTGATAGTGATTATGAAGGAGACTTAAATGATCGAAAGAACACTTTTGATATCTATTCCACATCGATTCTATAACATTTTCATGGTCATCAAAGAAGGAACAAACGGTGGTTATTTCGACATGTGAAGTATAATACATAGATGTTGTAGTGTGCACTTGTCAAGCAATCTGATTAAAGAATTTTTTAAAAGATTTGAACTTGGAACAAGAAGAACCGACTACAATTTACGTCGACAACAAATCTACAATATCTCTTGCCTAGAATCCAGTATTTCATACTCGAAGCAAGCATATTTATACAAAGTATCACTTTATATGAGAGTATGTGAAGAACAAAAACGTGGAGTTAATCTAGTGCATATTTTGCCTTTATTTTATTTTATTTTTTTAGAAAAAATAATATTTAAACTCAATTATAACATTTGAAAATATATAAATAAAATATAGACAAAAGGGTAAGTGATGCCCTCGTACTTTTAAAAAAATCAATGTAGTCCTCGTCATTTTTTTTTGCACCCTATGTGGCTCTCAAAATTAGAAAACAAACTCAAAGTGACATTTTAACCAATGATTTCCGTCGTTGATCGTTACGGGGCTGATATGATAGTCCACAATGGTTGATGACGTGGTAGATGAGCTAAATTGGTTTTTTTGGTCAAGTTTGAGGGTCAAATTGGATTTTTTTAAGTTCAATGGCTTATTTGATTTTTCAAAAAAATTATTTTAGATTTTAAATTTTAAATATAAACTATACAAATATAGACAAAATTAAATATAAAAATACTAAAAATAAAAATTAAATTACTAACAAATTATATATATATATATATATATAATTTTAAAAATTAAATTACTAAGGAAATATGAAGAACAAAAATGAGCAACATGACCACCCGATCAAACAT